CGGCCTCCCGTGGTAAAGTCTCCTCCCCTCTGGATCGCTGCAATGGTCCTGCCTGGGGTCTTTACCTGCAGTCTTCCTGCCCCCACCCCACACTGAAGCCTCGCGCACCTGTGGGTGACCTGCCCCCCACCCCCGGAACCTGCCCGCGCGGGGTTCGGTGCACACTGCAGCCAGCTCCCTCCAGCTTGCCTGCCGACTGCGTGTGCGACACTCCCCAGCATCAAGCGCAGTGACGTCAAGCTGCTAGCTTGCAATTGGCCAAGACAGGAGTCACATCAGAGAGACAGGCTAAGACTACAAATCCAAGCTTCCCTCTCCTGGCACTAAAACGCCTGCTTTACCAGCCAACCACTGAGCACATCCCAACATTCCCACACACTGGAGTCCTCTAAGGGTCTTCAAAAAGTACCGCAGCTTGGCTCCCACCCCCAGGCGCTGCGATTTATTTGGGAGAGCACGCAGCCTGGGTGTCAGGTGTTTTATCAGCTGCTGGTGATCCTAAAGTGCAGCCTAGTCGGAGCACCCCTCCTTTGGCACCTCCTGGAGTAAAACGTAAACTCCTTAGCGTTACATACAGGGCCCATCTTTCCAGTTTGACCTCTGGTCGTGGCCCCCCTGCCTTGGGCTGTAGGCAGCAAGCCACGGAGCGCCCTGGACACACTGTGACCTCTGGGGCTGCAGCACCCACATGGGCGCACCCCTCTGCAAGGCTGCCTTCCTTGTCTGATCCCTCCCAACTCAGCTCAGACACCCACCCCCTCACCCTGGAGGCGGGGAGCTGCCCCAGGGCGCTTGGCCTTCCTCTCCCATGAGCTCTACTCACACAACACGGTCATGACCTGTCCCCTCCTCCCAGGGGCAGGGCTATGATAGAAAGTGCCCCCACATACCCGCAGATGCTCGTGAGTTGCTGTGGAATGAATTAGTGGCTTGCTCTGAGCGGGCTGATGGCTCATGTCTTCATAGAGAGATACGTGCACACTGTCTCCACTTCACAGGCCTCACGGAGATGGGGGAAGCTGTCACACCACACTCTCTGGGTGCGGGGCCATGCTCTCCCAATGCAACATGTGTTCCCTCCTCCCGGATGTTACAATTTATGTTAATAATACCAACAGCTACTGCCAACATGCTCTCCAGGTTCTGGACACGGCACCGAAGTCTACTACGTGCTATGAGAGCTAATCCTCTCCAGAACCCCTTGAGGTCGATTGTTAACCCCACTTACAGAAGAGTAAACTAAGGCTTAACAGAAATAAGAATTTCTCAGGGTTTTGTTTTGTTTTAAGAGCGTTTTCCTGAGATAGAAACGTGTTGAAAGTATATGGTCCCTTAGAAGGGGAGCCAGAAGTCGAGCTGCAACCAGGCCCCATAACTGTAAAGTTTATGCTCGGAATCGCAGGAGAAGCTACCTTGCTATCTTGTTTCTTTCGGTGACGGTTGCTGATGAGAACCACGTGCAACCACATGAAACCTGGGGCCTGCGGTGCGCACGCAGCTCTATCCTGGGTTCAGTTCATTTTCATTACAAGTATCTTTCCCTCACCCCAACCTCTTCATTATTTTTGAAACCGTTGTGCTATAAGCCATCTCACGTCCTTTTGGGGACCAAATAAGAAAAAAGGAAGTACCACCACACAAATGAGCCCATCCAGGGCCATGTTTCCAGGAAACAGGGTTTAACAGGCAGGAAGCGAATGCAGGCAAGGTGGGAAGGGCAGAGGGGACAAATCTACTTTGCATCCTCTTCCAACTGGTGAGGTCATATGAAGCTTCAAAACAGAGACTTGACTTCACTTTTGCAAGACATTTGTGCATGTGCATGTAACAGGGGAGGAAGATTCTAAAGTGATGTGGGGTGAGGGCGGGGGACACGCCCTGGTGGCTCATTCTGTTAAATGTCTGACTCTGGATTTTGGCTGAGGTCATGATCTCTCGGGTCGTGAATTCGAGCCCCGCATCGGGCTTTGTGCTGACTGTGCAGAGCCTGATTGGGATTCTCTCTCTGCCCCTCCTCTGCTCACTTTCTCTCTCAAAATAAATAAATAAACTTAAAAAACAATTCTTAAAGTGACATGGGGGGCAAAATCTTCAATGGGCTAAGTGTATATTAAAAACATACTCTCAGGGGTGCCTGGGTGACTCAGTCGGTTAAGTGTCTGACTTTGGCTCAGGTCAGGATCTCACAGTTTATGAGTTCGAGCTCCATATCAGGCTCTGTGCTGATAACTCAGAGCCCGGAGCCTGCTTCAAACTCTGTGCCTCCCTCTCTCTCTGCCCCTCCCCTGTTCACATCTGTCTCTCTCTCTCTCTCAAAAAATAAACATTAAAAAAATTTTTTTAAGTTAAAAAAAATATACTCTCTATCTAACCATACCAGGAGAGCAATTAGCTTCAAGAGTAAAATTTCAGTCCTCAAACCTATTTACATGGTAAAGATGACACTGTTAAAGGTACATGGCTGCTGAAAATGACATCAGGATCCAGGGGTTTAGAAGGCAGGCACCGTGGCCATGAAAGCGTGCAGATGACTCATCACCCTGAGGCCTCTCTGGCCTCTCTACCCACCCTCCCTCCCACCCCCATGCCCTAAACCCGGCGGAGCTCATCGGTTCCTGGAGAGAGCCCTATGAGGGTGCCACCCCCCAACTTCAAACACAAGCTCTTCACCCACAAACTTTTGCATCTTTCAAGTCACCTAAGAAGGGGGACGGGTTCCAAATGGAGAAAAACAACCAGAATCAATCCTCAGGCTGAGCTACTGATAGCTCAGGGAGGGGGACTGCAGACCATCGCAGAGCTGCCTCTCCGCTGGTCCCCAGTGAAGGTGACCTAATCTCTCTTCGGTGGTGGATGAGGTTCAGAGGATAAGCATGGGTGTCAGACCCAAAGGTTAGGAAATCCTTGATGAGATTACTGGACACCAAAGCCTTTTGAAACTTCTTCCGTAGAAACCATGGAGGCTCTGGAGAAGCACAAGTTAGAAGGGGCATCGCTGCTGAAAGGCGAGCCGACACTGTCCGTGTCGGGTGGAGGGGCAGCTGCTCCACGGCAGGGTCAGGCTGCATCTGGGGCCTCCAGTGGGTCAAGGCGGGGGCCAAAGTTACAGGATGACACACCAGCGTTGCTTTGCTTTGGGAAGAGGAAGAGCAGACCATGGAGGGTCCTAGAAACGAGACGGAAGACGCCGACGAGCCGGAAGGCCTTGGACAAGACACAAGGGACTCCTCCTCGAAGGTCAGGGGGCAGCAGAGTCAGTCGGGGCATCCCCTGCACGCCCTGCAGATGGACACACGCCATGCGAGGCAAGGAGGAACTCGCCGGCAATCGCAGCCATCCCCAGTCCTGCTCTCCCAGTCCGTGTTGGAGCTCAGCCTCTCACAGATCCTGGAAGAAGGACCCCAGGACTGGAGGAAGGGGATGAATTTCAAAGGCTCCTTCCCAAATCCCAAGACTATCATGACCACCCCCATTTTCTGGATTTCTTAAAATCTTCACATGAAACCTAACATGGTCTCCTGCTTCCTTTTTATCCCCTACCCATTTGACGTTTGCTAAATACAGAGCTCCAGAAGTTTCAGAAGGAAAACTGCGAATCTAAAGAAAATCAAGTTTCAAAAATCCTTTTGGAATGGTCTGGAACAGGCAAATCTATAGGGACTGAAAGTGGACTAGCAGTTGCATAGGCTTTGGAGAGAGCTGGGAAGGAGGTGGGGGTCAGGGTGACTGCCAGTGGGAACAGGGCTTTCAGTGGTAATGAGTCCTCTAAAACCACACCATGATGATAGTTATATGACTGTAAATGCACTAAAAACCATTGAGTTGTACACTTCAAACGAGTGAAGTTTATGGCAAGCAAATTGTATCAGAATAAAGCCATTAAAAAAAACCCTAACTCTTTTGGGATGAGCTAGTTTCCATGTTACAATCACCCTCATGTGCTCCTCTCTGCCACCACCCAATGCCACCAGCCATCCCCACAGTCTTGGGTGCTCCTTTCTGATGGAAAGGCTGAATGCTAAAAAAGCCTGCCCCGGCCCAGAGGTCAGACCCCACACGAGACACTCATCCATCCACCTCACTGCACAATGACAGCCATGCGGACATGGGCTCAGGTCAAGGTTCAGCTGTGTCAAACACCCCAAGCCCCTGGCTGGTGGCCCTGAGCCTTTTCAGGCACCACAGACGACCCAACCGCCATCACACAGAGCCCTTGGTAAGAGGAGCCGAAGCCGTGCCTGGCCAGAGAGGTCTTCTGAGCACACGGACGATCGCTCGGGCCAGGGAGGAAGATCTGGGGTTGATGGCGCGTGGCCTCAGGTCCACCTGGCCCATGACCCTCCTGGAAGGAGCTCCCTGGACGAGGCAGTGCAGAGCTCCACTGACGACACACGTGTTCTTGGGACGTGGCACCACAGCCTGAGCTCTTCCCGGGAGACAGAACGCCAAATACCCCTGGCACTGCCCAGAGCCCTGTTTTAGACTGTTAGATGTATTTTTAGAAATCATAGGAATGTTCCGTGCAATTCTCACGTGGCCCTACAACAAGCACCTCCAAACAGCAGACCTGCTGTATGGCCACTGGGGCCCGAAACCTTTCAAAGCCCTGTCGGACGGTCACAGCTGTCAAAACACATCTTTGGCCAAGCTCTCAAAACTTGGGGGCTGACAAAGTAATTCTACTCAATTACATTACGTGGCTCACTTATCAGCAAAGACCTTCCTTCCCACGTCACCTGCATCAAACAGCAAGCTTAGGTTCAGAAAATTAGATACAACATATACGTTGCTGTATATAAACATGACACACGTGCGTGCACACATGCACACAGGTGTTCACACTTTGGCAGCTCAGCTCAATCCCACTGGGTTGTAGAACAAGCCTCAAAACCTCTGTCACAGAGAAAAGCAACAAAACGTAGCTGTTCGGAAGAGAAGGGCAGGTGAACAATAATACTTAGTTTTTTTTTTAAAGTGGACTTACTGTTTTCGTTACCTACCTGAAGCCCTGGCTGCTCCCAAAACAGCGGAACGGAGCCTCTGATCTGGACAAAAGACGACACTCCATCATCCATGTAAATCGTCTGTACCACAAGGAAACAGAAAGGGAAAGTATTCCTCAATGAAACTGAATGTCCTGGGCCGGGTAACTGGATCCGGCCGCCTGAGACCCGACACCGCCTAGAACGAAGGGCAGACAGTGGACTTCTGCGCCCTCTGCTTCTCTGGCCCGAGTGGCCTTGCTGTTCCCTGACCCACAGGCCGGCCCTGTTTGCTCAAGGGCATGCTGGCGGTCCACCGGCCTCAGGGGAGCCTGGAGCGGGCACGGGGCCTCCTGGGGAGGGCTGCAGCTGGCCGGGAATAAACACGGCCTTTCCCAGTTCCCTGGAACACCCAGCAAGGCCTCCCCACACCCCGTGTCAGGAACAGAGGCAAAAGCGCTCTGGAATTTAGCACTTCGCTTCCAACTAGCCAAGTAGCAGACAGCAACCGGAAGAGGATGGTTACAGCCAAAATACCTAGGCGACTACCCTCGTCAGTCCTGCACTTGACAAGGCAGACTTGAACTTGTAGGTGCTCCTGGCCCCATGCCACATATACACAGTCCAGCTTCCCCACGCTACCAGGGTCAGGGCGCCCGCACGGAAGCAGAGGATACTTACACACTCAAGAACAGACACCCTCCCCTCCCCCCACCCCAGCTACTACAGAGTGTATCAACTCCTCGTGTGCCTGCAGCGGCCCCCTCTCCCTCCCCCCTGAATCAGGAGTTTTAAAGGGACAAGAAGTGCAGCCCCGAGCATCACGAGGGATGCTGTGGCAGTTATCAGATGTGCTGCCCTTTATCTGAGTAATTCTACCCTGGCCTGACAGGGCCAGTCAGGCCAACGCTGCTGATCCTTTCCATTTCTTACCAGGCTGCTCCCTTACAGGGTAGCTTTCCATGCATCTAGATCACGCTCAGATCACACATGCATTAGTAATTCTGCGGCGGAGGACCTGAGCAGCAGACTTGCAGGTCCCCAGACAGCAGGAATTACTGGAGCCTGGTAGCTACAGAGTTGAGCTGATCTTCTATCCCCTAATTTCCAAAGGAAAAAAGCACGGGGTTAAGGACTTCTCTGCTTTCAGATACTACCAGCAAATATGCTGCCCCTTACTATTCTACTGAAAAATAAAAAAAGGAAAAGAAAAAGAAGAAAGTAGCAGAATGCTTAAACTACTGGAGGCATCACTGGCTACCCTTAGATTAAGAGCATCTGGGTCCAGGGGCACCTGGGAGGCTCAGTCAGTTAAGCATCTGACTTTGGCTCAAGTCATGATCTCACAGATCATGAGTTTGAGCCCCGCATCAGACTCTGTGCTGAGAGCTCAGAGCCTAGGGCCTGCTTCAGATACTGGGTCTTCCTTTTTTCTGCCTCCCTCCCTCCTCTTCAAAAATACACGAACATTAAAAAAATCTATTTTTAAACAATTTAAAAAAGAAGAGCATATGGGTCCAGGGGCACCTGGGTGGCTCAGTTGGTTGAGTGTCCAACTCTTGATTTTGGCTCAGATCATGATCTCACAGTTCGTGAGTTCAAGCCCTACTTCAAGTCAGTAAGGCTCTGCACTGACCGCCCAGAACCTGCCTTGGGATTCTGTCTTCCTCTCTCTCTGCCCCTCACCTGTTCGCATGCGCTCTCTCTCTCTCAAAGAAAGAAATAATAAACATTTTTAAAAAGATCTTTAAGAAAGAACATACAGATCCAGAATGCTGAGAAAGAAACCAATTTAGCCAACATTTCTCTGTAAAGACAGCCCGCAACAGGGCCAGGACAGGATTTTAGCTCTGGAACTATGACCCTTCACTTGAACACGTGCTAACGGAGCTACTTCCAGCATTAGCCCTTGCTCCCCTTGAGCTTGAACTCCGCAGGGGCAGAGCCAGCTTCAGAAAACACCCGCCGAGAGCCCCCACACCCTAGACCCCACTCCTGGGACAGGAAGGAAAGATGCCTCTGAATTTCTCCACTGCTCCCTCCCACATGAAGATTTTCTAGTTCTGGGTCCCGTTCATCATCAGGGCCACTGTCTTTGTTCCCAAGGTGACAAGACAACCTGATCATCACACACCAGCAGTGGATTTGCGGTGCTTTCCTCTCTGAGCTAAAGAACATAGGTTTTAACACTCATGGCAGAGTTGATGCCTCACCTCACAGAGGGCATCTGGATCCCGGGGCAGGGAGGAAAGGAGGGTGGAGTGTGAATGCGGGTCAGCACGTGGGCCCTGGGACAGCATCTTCCACCTGCCAGCTCCCATGTGCCCTGCAGGGTGACCCTGGGCATGTGAACCACTTGGGGGCTTAGTTTCCCTCTCTCAATGGAGTTACTGCCATCTGGTCCCAGGGAGGAGCAAATGAGTAATGAGGGAACGTGATCTCAGCACAGGGCAGTGGCTCATTGCTCCTCAGGCCAGGAAAACACTGCCTAGGAGTGTGGACAAGGCCCCTGCAGAGGACTGACTCGGGAGGAGTCAGAGCATGGGGCTGGATGGGGGGGGGGCAGGGCTCAGGCTGTGGGGACAGGGAGGGTAGGGTCAGGCAAGGGGTGGGAGGGAATCCACGATGGCTAAGTAGTGGCGAGGCCGGGCCTGGGATGCCCTGGTCTTGTCTTCGCAACTCTGAGCAGCCCCCTTCCCGGAGCGGGGGGTGCAGAAAGCCAGCGACCCTGAAGCGAAGGGAATAATGCGGGAGGCTCACAAGCCAGCAGACACACTTCTGTCTTCTACTTGGCTGAACTTGCATCTCCAAGTGAGGTGTTCACAAACCAACGCTTGCCAAGCCTGCCGTGTTCTTAGGAGGACGTGCAGCCATCCGACCCTTGTCAGATTAATCAGTGGCCTTATCATCAATAGCCAAATATTTTTCATCTTTTTTCCTTTTGGTAGAACAAAGGGACTTTTGGGGTTTTGTTTTTCTGCACAGTGAGTCACAGCTGCAGAGCAGTCGCACCAGGTATGACTCACAGCAGAGCCAGAAGGACGCCAGGCTTCTTCCCAGGGAGACTGAGATGTGGTCCACACCTGCATACACACACACACACACACACACACACACAAATGCACACACGTGAAACATGCACTCACACACCACACACAAATGCACACACGTGAAACATGCACTCACACACCACACACAAATGCACACACACACAAAACACCCCCCCACAAACATGCACTCACACCACACACAAATGCACATGCACACAAAACACCCCCCACCCCCCACAGGCCAACATGCACACACACATACAGCCTGCCTTGGAGAAGAAAGCTTGTTCATTCCTCTTAGGAACAATGCGAAAGCAAGGCAGAGTGGGTGGCTGAAAGCACCCCTCTCTTCTGGCTCCCTGAGCATTTAATTCAGGGGAGACCCCGCCTCAGAGGACCAGCCTGCTCCCTGTCTAGTCCCGCCGCGTGCCAAGGGGCACAGTGCGGCAATTCATGAGCCACCTTCACGCGTTCACTGAAGGACTTCCGCTCCCAGGTGGCCACAGGCTTGGGTCTGAAGGGTCTCTGTGGCAGGGGCCTCGGCCAGGCATGACCCGTGGGCAGCCGCTGGCAGGGGTGGGGTGGGGGGTGGGAGGGGTGAGGTGGGGGGTAGGGACAAGCAGTCCCAGCCAGGGCTCCTTCCGGCTGCGGCTCCACGCCCATCTCTAAGATGCTGCCTGCCACTCTCTGGCGACGAACCCACGTTTCAAGGCCCGCCATTTCTCCAAACGTCGGGGCCCAAGGCAGGCGACACCACGCTACCCGGAAGAGCGCCACCCTCTGCCTACTGCATCGCTTTGATTCGAAGTCCTCAGGATGCAGTCAGTGCACAATCTGCCGTCACCAGGAGCAAAGCCACCAAGACTGCAGGGAAGTACACTCTGCCCGTGACACCATCCGGCCCGGGCCTCACAGTCTGCGTCCCGCAGACGCAGGGGAGCGGAGTCCGCAGGGCTCCCGGGAGTGACTTCTTCCCCCTCCCCCATCAGATCCCCGCGGCCCTGGATGGCCAACTGCAGCGGGATTTCAGGCTTCCTGGACGCTTACTGTGCACCTCGTCACAGACCACAGTGCGTCTCCTCACCGCTCCCTCCGCGGGGCCTTCCCCAGCAGGGGGAGGAGGGAGGAAGGCAGCGCTGTGCTCGCAGGAACACTGGTTAAGTAGACATTTCACTTAGGAGGTTTTTATGTTAAAAAAAAAACTTTAGATCAACCCTGAGTACTTTATTGCTACAGAGTGCTGCAAATGAAACCATTCCATGATGGCCGGGGCAGAACAAGCGGCTCTTGCTTCCTGGGGAGCACCCGCCTGCTTTCCCCGGGAGCACTCACCTGCCTTCAGCCACACTCATCCTGCCTCTGAGAACATTTCAGAAAAGAGGATGACGCACCTACAGTAGATGCTGCCTGGAGCTGGCTTCCAGGAGCGGCTGATGACCCGCCCTCGGGGCTGTGCTGGGTCCCCAGGGTATCGTCAGGGTGTCCTCCGCAGGATGCCTTCCTGGGGAAGCGCGAGCCTTCACCACCCTCCTCAATTTCAGCTGCGTCTTCCTCTCCCTCCGTGGCTTCCCCACGCGGTGCTGTGTGTGTCTGCCTCGCGGCCCTCACTCCTCCCTTGCCTTCCCCGTCTCTCTGTAGGCAGGTCCCCGCGGCTGCGTGCCAGCCGCGGGAGGCACTCCCAGGAGGGTGAAGGTGCTGCGTCCCTGCCTGGGCAGCCTCACAACCAAAGTCCGCTGAGGGGCTCGGGGTTCGCTGCCCTGTTGCCAGTGAGGACACACCTGCAGTCACCTCTGGGCACGGACTCCTCCCCCTCCTCCCCCACCGTGGTGGGCACACCGTCTGGGGGCCCCACAAAGAACTGCTCGGGTGCGAGCCAGCACGTCTGGTAAAAACGACGTCACCGTGGGGCCACGCAGCCGCATGTTGCTCCCGGGTGGGGGCTGCGTTCCCAGCTGCCCGCCATCCCAGCTGGACGGCAGAGGGGGTGTCCGGCTGCCTGTCCGCCTGTCCCGTGCTTCTGGGACAAGGCTGGGTTGCAGGTTTCATCAAGAAAACCTCGATCTGATCCAGGGCGGGGAAGAGGAAGAGAAAACACGAACGAGGCTACGTGAACCAGGAAATCTGCCCCAGCCAGAGAAGGGACGCAGGTGGAGGTCATTTAAATAGCCCTGGGCTGTTGCTCCAGGAGCCAGAGAGCAGGCCACTGGTGTCCCTGAGGCCTTGCTGGCTTGGCCACGGGGCAACAAGGTTCCTGTCTCTGAGCCCGAGAAATTGGGCACTTGAGACAAATGCCTCTGTATCAGGCCACAGAGACAAATCTCTGTATCAGGCCACAGAGATGAAACAGCCAGAGCAAAGGCCCAGCCCCAGTCTATAGGAAAATGAGAAAAGCAAAGGCACTATTGAGATTTTTCATAAAGCGAAATGCACTGCTTTTGAAGTACATAAGGGGCGCCTGGGTGGCTCAGTCAGTTAAGTGTCCGACTTCGGCTCAGGTCATGATCTCACGGTTTGTGGGTTCAGGCCCCACCCTGGGCTCTGTGCTGACAGCACAGAGCCTGGAGCCTGCTTCAGATTCTGTCTCTCACTTTGCCCCTCCCCTTCTTGCACTCTGTCTCTCTCTCTCAAAAATAAATAAAACATTAAAAAATATTTTTAAAAAATAAAGCATAGTCCTTTAACATTATGTTTTTGTTATGCGTTGAACTGTGCCCTCCAAAAAAGACATGTTGAAGTCCTAATGCCAGCACCTCGGAATGTGACCTTATCTGAAGACAGTCACTGCAGATGCGGTTATAGTAAAGATGGGGAACACTAGACAGGGTGGGTCCCCTCGTTACAGGGCAGAGGGACATCCCGGGGGAGGGAGGCAGAGATGGGAGGGCTGCGACCAGCGGGGCCCTCCTCTAGAGGGAAAAGGGGCAAGGGGCCTCCTCTAGAACCTTCAGAGGGAGCACGGTCCTGCCAGAGCCTGGAGTTTGGACCTTTGGCCTCCAGAACCGTGAGACCATCAATTCCAGTTTTCTTAAGCCCCATTTCTGGTACCTGGTCACAGCAGCCTGAAGAAATGCCTACCACTGGGGCGCCTGGGTGGCTCAGGTGGTTTAAGCGTCCAACTTTGGCTCAGGTCATGATCTCACGGTTCGTGGGTTCGAGCCCCGCGTCGGGCTCTGTGCTGACAGCTCAGAGCCTGGAGCCTGTTTCGGATTCTGTGTCTCCCTGTCTCTCCCCTCCTCACGCTGCCTCTCTTTCTCTCTCTCTCTCTCTCTCTCAGAAATAAATAAAACATTAGAAAAAAAAAAAAAAAGAAACGCCTACCACTGACTTACATTTCCAGTGTTAAAATGCCCAATCTTTCAGGAACGGCTGTGATGCTTTGCTGATGAATGAGATGAAATAGATGAGACCCCAATTAAAAAAAAATGGCTGAAATTCACAACTCTAGGGAGTACCAAACAGGAAAAGCAAACAAGGAACGATCTACCCAAGGGCCAGATGGAAAGCAAGGCAGGGGCCAAATGCAAGGACCCACCCCTGGGCTCCCTGATGAAAACCTCTTCCAATCTGGTTCAGTTACCAGGTTCAAGGGCATGGGTCTTCTGATTTGTACATATATGCTTTGCACCTCTGGCCCCCAGTACCCGGCACAGCACCCAGACCATGGTGGACGATAAACAGTAAAGTTTTGTTGAATGCACTGCATGAATCAAAGGCTCAATCTGCAAGGATAACAATCGGGACGGAAATGCAGGTAACGGCAACGCAGGTGGTGCATGTGAACAAACGGAGCTCACGTGAGCGAGAAAAAAGAAAATGGCCTTTATTTAGGGCCCACATTTTCTCTGACATTTTTAACCGGATGTAGCCTCATCTACATCCAGAGGAAAAGGCAGAGTGAACAGAGGTCATGGACAAGAAACTGCCCTTGCTGCCCATCGTTAGCTCCTGTTCCAAAGTCCTCCTCCTGAGCACCTGACCGCAAGAGGACTTCCTCCCCTTAAGCCCAAGCACGCGGCTGCTCGCACACAGGAAGCAGGTGCTCAAATCTGTGTGGAATTACATGGGCCAAAGTCCTGGCAGGAAACGCCTCTCCCAGCGGCAAGACGGAGGGGACGCAAAGCCGCATCACCTACTAAATAAACACAGGCTGTTTGCAGCTTGACACCCACGGCCACACTGCACCTGTGCCTTTCACGGGGCTGGCCTTTCTTTATAATTTATTCTACCTGTTCGTCTACAAAGTGGTATTATCCTACAGATTTGCAACCCACAGAGGGGAAAAAAACAAACCAGTGCAAGACAGCATCTCTGGGAATGAGAACAGAATTTAGGGGGAAAAAAAAATCAATGAGAGACTAAGCAGATGGTTATATTCATGGAAGCTGAGAGCAAATGCCTCTTACCACGCAGATTTCACAACTCCAGGTGCTGAGCCGCGCTCCGGGGTTGATTTAGAACGAAAAACTGGTTCCTTCCCTCATGCTCGCTGTATTGATCTACTCTTTGTCTCAAGATCCCATTGGATCATTCATCACCGCCCTCTTAAACAGCTGCCACCCTTTCTGACCACGGCGAAAACTCCTGCTTCCTTTTAGCTGCAAGTACTGGGGTGAGCAGTATTACCCCGGCAGAAGTGAACCAAGAAGGACACCCCAGGCGACCCGGAGGCCACGTTTGCAGGCAGAGCCCCAGTGACTCAGTCTGTCCTCCGGAGGAAGGAGCCACGATCCGGGAAACGACCTCCAATACACCTGGCCTTCTCCCTCTTCGCCCCAAATGGAAAGGCGCTTGCACGGCTGCGTCCCCGCCGCACCACTGGTGCCACCGACCCGCCTGGGCACTGACCTGCTCTGTCTCCACGAAGTTGGACACATGGCCGTCGTCGTTCACGCCGCGGGTGTGGAAGCGAGCGCCGGCGCGCTCGCAGCTGATGCGGGAGACGAGGCAGGCCTTGGCCTGCTTGTGCGAGGCGTACACCGTGCGGATGGACACCACACCGCAGATGACCTTCAGCAGCCAGTCACAGCACCTCACCTGGTGCTGCCGCAGGGGCACGTGCAGCAGCTGGTTCCTGCAAAGCGGACTCGGGTCAGCGTGCACTCCCCGGATACACTGCGCCCAAAGCAAGCGGCAAGGGGCCCACCCGCAGGACGGGGCTTAGTGCGCGTGGCCCGGAGGTTCACGTGCTTCCCAGACCCCACCCCCACCAAGCAGCGGGGAAGGGGTGCTTCCCGGGGCCCCTGTGCGCGTCAGTATCAGGGACTGGAAGCCGAGCCAGGAGTGCGAGCCAACCATCACCTTCTGGGGACTGTCGGAGGAGCCTCCCTTTAGACCCCTGGCCTCCGCGTTTTCAAATCAGAGATCCCACCAGTAAAAACATTAATATAGGTTTTGTGACCAATAAATGATAAAAATAATCATTAAATATACGCATGCTAATTTAAATTGCATACATAACCCATGAGGTCTAGCCTATCCCAATGAGAGCACTAGGAAGCAATCCAAAATAAATTAACAAGGAGGAGACAAAAATAAAACAAGGAAAGTCCCAGTACCGCCTCTCCACACCTGGTGGATTGTTCTGGGCCTCTGGGGACCCCTGGTGTCCATGATGATAAGGATGCAGAGAAAAGCCAACAGTTATCAAGGGCGTGAGCACCATTCTAAGGTGCTTTGGGATGGATTAGCTCACTTCATCCTCCAAAGGCCCTATATGAAAGCTATTATCATTCAGCCCATCTTACAGCTAGAGAAACTGAGACACAGAGACATGAAGGACTTGTCCAAGGTCATGGAGCCAGGAAGCAGCACTGAGGAGCTGGGAGCCTGCCCTCTTCTCTGGCTGTGCCAGGCCCAGGCTATCTCCTCTCCCAGGGAAGTCCCCACACGCACAGCCACACCTCTGTGGGCCACAGCCTTCTGCTCTCTCTCGGCCTCCCCACCACCCACTCGACCTGACTCTCTGAGAAGCAGGGCCTCAGAGGGGTGCCAGGACCCCCTGAAGCTGAGCTCCATTCGGGGTGCTCAGGCGACCCGAGCGGCGCCTTCGGAGGCCTCTCAGACCCTCCCAGGAAGGGAGGTGTTTGGTGTTCACCAAACACACTTTCCTCTGAATCCCTCTGTAAAATCCCGATGATGAGCCAGCTTTAGTAACAAATTAAATCTGCATATGGTCTCAAGGCAAAGCCTCGAGAATGTTCCAGTCTTCCAGCCCCACAGCTAGGGCAGCCATCAGTCACCGGGAGTCAGGCAGAGGAGCCTTTTGCCAACCGGTCCTCCGAATCCCTGTGTGTAGTCACGCTGGCCTGGCGCTCGCTGGGAGGATGGCTCGTTTCCGAGGAAAAGCCCCAGGTCCGTAAAGGAAAAGTGCTTTGGGTTTCCTGCCAGGTTTTCCCTGTCCTGGGAGGCAGTTATCAGTGGGCTCAGCTACCGGCCCGGAAAAACCACTTCACGCTGCCGTACGCGCTCCCTCACTCACCAGCCACGTTCAGTGTTGACCCCATCTGACTCCAGATGTGGGTCCAGACCTGGAGCACAGCACTCCAAATGGTGGGTTTAGGCAGTCAAGCCCGTGACCACTCAGTCAAGGGTGACTCAGCTGTGGTCAGTTCCGTGGGCGCCGCCCAAGCACCACGCCCTGGAGTGTGGTGTGGCCCCAGCAGCCCGGCGCTCTCCAGAGCCGCCGCCTCCTCTCAACTCAGGATGGAGTCTGGTGACCACCTGGGGCTTTCCCCTTCCTAAGCCCCCTTGGCCTCCACTTTGTGAAACTCTGCTCTTGCTGCTTTCTGTGAGCCTCAAGTCTCCAGCCACATAGCTGGAGGAAGGAGGCCTGACAAGGGCCGTCACAAAGGTCCTGGGGCCACCCAGTTCCCCCGGTGGTCCTACAATGTTGCCAAGAATGATACAGCCTCTGACACCTGGTCCCGCTCTTTGCCTGGAAGACCTCATTGAGAGTGACTCCATGGCCTTAGTACCAACACCCGCTGGTAATCCCCAGCCCTGGATCCCTGAACTCGGCTGACTTCAGGAGCACGGGCACCAGCGGGTCCCTGCAGAATGGAATCAGTGATTCACAGAAACACCATCCCCTGGACCTGTTACTCAGAGAGTGGTCCTCAGACCACAGCACGGGGCCACCATCATCGCCTTACTAGCGATGCTGAATCTTGGGCCCCAGCCCAGACCTGTTGAATCGGAATCGGCAGTTGAACAAGAGCAGCAGGAGACTCACAGGTGTTTTAGCGTTTGAGCACATTACTGCCTGTCCCCCGCCCCCAACTCAACAAAACCAGAAAGCCCACGAGAATCTGGGGGTGGAGAATGCGGGGGGGGGGGGCACATAGAAGGAGATGGCCAAGCCCCCCTCCTCCAGAAAGAAGTCGGGCTAGGGTGAGGGGTCCGAAGCACCAAGGGAGAAACGTTTATCCAGTGATCCCTACGACTGTCTGTGCTGGGGCGAAGGGAGAGAGGCAGGCATAAATAAAGGATGTAAATGAGCCTCACTGGCCCTGGAAAGGGCTGGAAAACTGGCGGAGCTCCAAAAGGCCAGTACTGGAATTCTAAGGACGGCCCAGTGTATGGGGCATATTGGAGCAATTTCTACAGCAGGTTTTCATCACGCTGGCTTCTGACTCACTTCCACACGTCTCCTGGTCAGTCTGAGGGGTACAGCATCGTTGACCAGCCAGGCCTGGCACCCATCTATGTAAATCACTGTGCCACCCCTCCCCAGACCTGCCAGGGTCGTGATCCCCAAGGCCCAGAAAGGGCCACAGATAATTTACATACTTATACAGTCATGCACACCTAGCTATGTCCAGGAAGGAGCCCTCAGAGGACCCTAAACATCCAGACATCCAGGCACCTCTATCTGGGCTTCAGGACACGTCTTATCACATGGCTGCACCTCACCCTGGCAGGCTGACTCAGTTTCCCCATTGCCGGAACTGGTCTGGCCTGGTGATTAATAGTATGGGATCTGGAGCCAGAAGGCCTGGGTTGGAATTCCCTCCCTTGTTCAAGCCTCAGTCCCCTTATCTGTAACATGGGAATAGCCAACAGACCCTACCTCATAAGTCACTATGAGGATTCTGAGTTCTTGCCTACCAGCAGAGAACATAGCACAGTCTGGAACATGAGCACCGTACAAGCATCGGTGGGAAATGTGTGTGTGCCGGAGGGTAACTAGCATTGCTGAGAGGACCAGAGGAGCACTGAGCACGGCCCAGCACTCAGGGAGCACGGGATGGATGTGGGCTCTCACGTTCTTTACTTAGGGACAGTTTCTTTACTAAGTCTACATTAGACTGCTTTGAACACCTTCCCTGACCCGGGGGTGGGGGTGAGGGAGTTAGTGTTCTCACTGCGCTGAGAGGGACTGGACTCGCAGAGATACCCGGGGTCCTGGGGGTGATGTAAACCAGAGAACAAAGACACAGGTGACACTCAGAGCCCACCATCCGCATGACCCAGGGGGGAGGGGATGAGGGTCCAGAGACGACCCAGGGCCCTCACCAAAAGAAGGAGCTCCCCCACTCGTCGCTGTCCTGGCCCTGCTTCTGCGCCCGGACGGTGAGGTCGAAGCTAGACCCATCATTGGGCCACGAGAAGTAGAAGACCCCCGAGTTGAGGATTTTCCTCAAGGCTGTGAGGCGGTCCTCCTCCTTGGCCTCCCCCTGGAGAGGGTAAAAGTCGGTGGCCGTGATTTTGTAGATTTCAGCCTCTGGGATTCTGCCCACTGACGTGCAGCCTGTCACCAAAACCAGGAAGCCCAGAGAGGCACCACCTGGAAGGGAAACACACAAGATGGCTCAGGACCACAGTCGGCAGGCGGCCGCGGGACAGCTCACGGCCCACGTTTCCGCGGGAGCCACGGGACCGCATCAGCGACCTCCGCTGCCTGAGCCTGAAGCCCGACGCCTGGCGCTCAGAGCCTGGCCCCCGACCGGCAGCACCTGGAAGCCTGCTGGAAATGCACATTCTCAGCCCCCTCCAGACAGCCAGGCAGGGGCCCAGCCACCTGAGCCTTACCAGGCCCCCAGGCCATTCTGCTGCCCACCAGCCTCAGGGTTACTGGCCAGGGGCCTTCCCAGCGCCACAGCCTCTCCCCACATCCACCACCCAAAGCCTCGAAAATCTGCTCCCTCCCCGAATCCTCAGGCACCACCCGGCTCAGGGCCCCAGGTGTGGTCAGGTCTGCAAGCCCAGTCACTAGAGTCGCCTCTCAAAGCTGCCTGATGGAAGACCTCCCTCTCTGCTTAAACTCCCCAACCGCCCCCACCTCCCCCAGGACTGAAATGGGAGCTCCTCACAGGCCGACCACCCCCCTCCCTCCCCACGTATGGACACCCCGGGTCCAGCAGCTCTCTGGGGCTGTCCTCTGCGGCTCCTCAAATGCCCCATATGCCCTTATACCCCTGGGCCTTTGCCCAAGCCGCTGCCTCTGCCCGGAATACCCCACCGCCACCTGCCCCACCCACCTTGCCGGCCCCCACCCTTCAGAACAGCCACGAGCTTTCCCAGTGTTCATAAGGACCACCCTAGCTCAGCCCCACTTTTCTAGAATTCCTCTCTGCCCTTCTGGAGCCTTCCCTGCTCCGCAAAGGCATTGTTACCTGCCCCTTCTACATGCCAACAGTATCCCTGTTAGCCCTTGTGCATCCACAGCAACAACCTCCATCCCATCTGTGTTCCCAGGAGAGCGGGGGTTTCTTAGGGACAGGACTCTTTCATGATATCCCGGATGCACATGGCAAGTGTTGGATGAACACTTCTGAAATAAGCCGAGAGCAGCTCAAGCCTCTCCCAACCCCCATGAAGTATTACCCAGGCCACTGCCAACCTGGTTGCCAGAACAAGACACCCCCCGCTCCCAGGGACCCCACCAAACCGTCCGCGGCTGCTTTCTGTTCTGCACCCTGTACCGCACAACAGGCACACAAAGGTGCCGACAGACACCTGCTATGTGGGTCAGGGATGCACGGCAACGCTCTGCTCCGGGAACATCAGGGACAGCGCCCCCTGATTTATTTCAGGAGAGGGCCCCAGGGATAACTTGAGTGACCAACTGGCCTTCCAGGGCTGACATGGCTCTGCTCCGAAAGACACTCTTCCCAACCCCGCTGAGGTTTAAAGGACCTTCCCGGCAAGATCCCCTCCGCGTGGTCGGTGGTCATTATCTGGAGCTACAGTGGCCAGTGGTTTAGATCTCTGGACACTCTGATCAAAGCCCCTTCGGACCCGATGCTCACTGTCTCCCCCCCCTCCCTCCTCACACCTGATAGGGAGAAGGGGGCTACTTGGGGCCAGGACACATCAGGGTTGTTTTTTTTAATGCCTTTATTCAGGGCACCTGGGTGGCTCGGTCAGTTGAGCGTCTGACATCGACTCAGGTCATGATCTCGTGGCTTGTGAGTTCAAGTCCCACACTGGGCTCTCGGCTATCAGCACAGAGCCTGCTTCGGATCCTCCCTCTCCTTCTCTCTCTGCCCCAGCCCCGAGCACTCTTTCTCTCAAAAATAAATAAACATTAAAAAAGTAATAAGATAGGGGCACCTGGGTGGCTCAATCAGTTAAGCGTCCAGCTTCAGCTCAGGTCACAATCTCACAGTTCATAAGTTTGAGCCCCGTGTCCGGGTCTGTGCTGACAGCTCGGAGCCTGGAGCCTGCTTTGGATTCTGTGTCTCCCAACCTCTCTACCTCTCACCCGTTCATGCTCAGTCTCTCTTTCTCAAAAAGAAATAAACAATAAAACAACTTTTTAAATAAAAGATGCCTTCATTCAATAACTAGGTCAGTACATCTACTGGGGAGGGGGACTAAGAGGGTGACCCTTCTGGCTCACATCCCACTGCCCCAGGCAGATCGTCAGGAAACTACTTTTTTTTTTTTTTTAATTTTTTTTTTCTAGGAGAGAGAGAGAGAGAGACAGCGCTAGCAGGGGAGGGTCAGAGAGAGAGGGAGTCACAGACTGAAACAGGCTCCAGGCCCGGAGCCGGCTGTCAGCACAGAGCCCGACGCGGGGCTCGAACCCACAAACCGCGAGATGTGACCTAAGCGGAAGTCGGACGCTTAACCGACTAAGCCAACCCGGCGCCCCTATCAGGAAACTACTTTAAAGCAACTTAAGAATTAGGCAGTTATGCTATGGACAGTGACAGGTGTCAGGAGGCTGAGTTTCTTAAGCAGAACAAATGTCATTTCTGGCAGACAAGTGGGGTTTATGTGGGGTCGATGGCCTCAATGTATAGATTCACAAAGGCAAATATTCCCGCAGCCTCCGCTAGAACCAATGCCCGGGCATCCCATCTGCCTCTTGTGATGTGCTCAGTGCAGAGAAAACGGAGTTCAAGGGCAGTCAGAGGGGTGGCCAGAGGGCAGCCCCTGCCATCTAGGCTGCGAGCCCGAGACTGGACTCTGTAGGGAGTGGGTTCAAGGAGAGGCATGGAAAACTTGACATCTCTCCACCCAAGCTGTGGCGTGGATTTCTAGCGCCACTTCCTCAACAGCCTCTGCGTGGGCAGACCGAGTCCCTGGCAAAAGTCCCAGGTTGCTGTGAAGACAGTAGGCATTTCCTGTGCAGGGCAGTGGCCCGGAGGAGGCTGGGGATGGGTGGCTGCAGCAGGCATGAAAAAGCTCTTAAAATAAATGCGGCTTTGAGCTCCTGAGTCCCGGGGCTGAGGGGCTCAGGAGAAGCCACAGGGGAATAAAGATCTCACCAGGGCAGCGGGTTGGAACCGAGCACTTTAATGACAGCTGATTCTCAGGGCGGCTGCTTATGAACTCTGTTCTATGAGCTCAACAACCCCCTGAGGGAGGGGCCATTTTTAGTCCCACTGTACAGGGATGGAGATGGAGGCACAGAGAGGTTAAGAAGCCTGCCCAAAGCGACCCAGTGGGGGAACTGGGATTTGAATCCACTTTCGGGCTATACCACCTGGGCAAGTTACTCAGGCCAAGTCTGGTTCCAGAGCCACTGCTCTTACCTATACCCTTGCAGAAGGATCGCCAACGTACCTAACGATGCTGCCATTTTACGAATGAGGGACTATTCCCCGGAGGGAGCTGAATCATCTGCCCAAGTGCACGGCTAGTCTGAGTTGAACCCAAGATGCCAGCATGGGTTCATGCAGCCCGGAGGTCTGGCAGCCTTCGATCACGATGGCTGACTAAGGTACCACTTGCTCATTTCCAAATTGACACCGAAAGTGCTCATCATTAGTGTAAGTGGTTGTGAATAATGTACTTTCTGGCACATGCTAAATACTGACGTGTAAGAATAAATCCCTTGTCGGCCTCTTTACAGTGGAACCTAGACTCTGGTTTGACAATCGTCCTTGTATATTATTTAAAGGAATGCACGAACGAGTTCTTCTTCAACAGATGGGACTTTCCTCTGAATTTCCATTCCACCCCCCACCACCCCAGAATTTCATCCTAATGTCACATATTTTATGCTTCTGTGTCCCATATTGATCACACTGTGCAGCAATTTGATCCTAATGCTGAAAGTGTTTAAAAGACTTTGGCTTGAGTTATCATTACAATGACTTTTAGTACAAAATCAGTCAAGCAATGTTAACAAAATGCTCTGCTAAATACTGACTTAACATAAAAAAATAAAGATTTGTTGGGAAGGTGGGGGGCACCTCTGGTCCATATATCCTTGGAGAAATGTTATTTATTAACAGAATGAAACTAGATTCTCTACCAATGCTAGTTCTGTTTTTCATTTTTATAGATGTCAACACTGGGAAACCTTGTTCACATTAATAGATTGAGGAGAATAGAAAGGGCTTTATTATAGAAATGTTGCCCGATATTCTTCAGAGTCCTTCTGAGGCACCTGCTTCCAAAAATCACAAATCTATCTAGAAAATTACTATTCGTGCTGTCAGGTGACACCCCCATTAGGTTTTCCTTCAATTTTGTAGAAAGCGATCAAAGGAACTTGGAAGCAAACTGCTACCCAGTCACGACAGTGACTTGCTTCCGCGACAGCGCTGATGACAATATTGTGACCCCTCCCGTTGTCAGCCATCTGTAGGGATTCACCTCCCAGAGTGACACACCGCGTAGGGTTCCGGGGGGAGAAGGTAAGATGGAAGGGGGGTTGCGGGTGGGGCAGAGAGAATGAGAAGCCAGTCCTTCATCGCAGCGACATTCTTACGGAGGTGAGGACCTAGGAACTCTCTCCCTCAGCACCGGCCAGGCCAGTGTCGGGTGGACAGTCTCGCTGACACTAGAGGAGCAGCACCAGACCACGGCCTCTCCAGGAGGGGCAGCTGGCCCTACTCAGCCCGGCACGTGGCTTCCTGTTCCTTCAGGGCTGCCATGACTCCGCCCACCCCATCTTGTCCAGCACCCTTGGGTGTGTGCCCCACACCATAGGTTTTAGGGAAAGGGTCCTGGTTCAAGCCTAGCACTCGACTACTGGGGGTCACCGCCCCCCAACGAATCAGCGTGGTGTGGTCTCTTGGGGATAAAAGTGGGGCTGCGGGGGGTCACCTGGCCCAGGTGTGTGAGACGTCACCTTGAGCACAAGATCTGGGCTGTTTTCAGTAAGGCAGGATCCGTTTTCTCCCAGGGAAGAAGTAAACAGGCCTGGGGCGGGGGGGGGGGCAGGGAGAGTCTCCAAAGCCCTGAGCTAAGGCTGAGTCCAGGGGCCTGAAACCAGCAAGGACCTTACAGCCGAGGAAACACGAAACTCAGACTTGCTCTGGCGTCAGGAGATGAGGCTCTGACCCCGCAGGCCTCCACCGGCCCGTGAGGACTCTGGCCCTCAGATGCACCAGGGAGGTGGCCTCTCGGTCACTTCCAGCTCAAAGGAACCCTGGTTCCAGGACTCTGGCCAAAGGGAGAGCATGCCTGGGTCCGAGGTCGCCGGCCACAGGCAGGTGAGGTCACAGACACACCAGAGGCAGACGGGGTCACACAGGGACACGCACACACCTCCGGAGGGCAGGAGGCTCACGGTCCAGCCTGAACAAGCAGGGTGGAAACATGGAAGGCAACAACCCAGGTATATATGGTTTAACGGAGGACAGGGTTTCCGTGTGGGAAGATGAAGAAAGTTCTAGAGATGAATGGTGGCGATGGCTGCACAACAACATTGTGAACATCCTTCATGCCACTGACTCTACACTTAAAATTAGTCCACATGGGAAACTTCATCTTCTGTATATTTTACCGCACACAAAAAACCATGGCGACCTCAGTGCCGGTTTTAGGAACTCTTTCCCTCGAGAGGGCCGCCTCCAAAGCCCAACCCCAAGGCACAGCTGCCCCAAACCCCCTGGCCCCTGCAGGAACGGGGTCCGTGTCTTATCGAGCTGTGGCCATTGTCATCTGGCTGGGCAGGCCTGGCGCTAGGGTCACCATGAGTCACGCGCAGACACAATGCCGTTTGTGCAGGGACAATGCGGGGTGTGTTCTGTCCGCTGGGCCTCTGGCTTCCCCTGTGCTGGCATTTCTCTATTTGCTCAGCCTCGGAGCTCACTCCCTAGCCAGGTTCGTGCCAGTCCCAAGCCCGGGGCTCCCACAGGCGCCTCATCTGTCCTGCTCATGCAGGACACTCTCCCACATAAGCTGTAGGCACAGCAGGAGCTCTGGGCGCTTTAGCCAGAGGGTCCCCAAGGCCTCCCCTCATACCGACAAGCTCAGAATTCTAAATACCCTGTATCCACATGCACAGTTTCAAGGATCTCTTTCATCTTCCCTTTCTAGAACACGAAAGTGGTGCAGACATCAGTGTGCTGGCGGCTTCCACCAGCTCACGGGAGCCTGCTGTGCACATCTTTCCCCAGCTCCGCACTGGAGGCTGAAACCAGCCAGAGGCGGGCTGTCTATGCCACGGAGATTGGCAAATACCACATATCAGGGCTTTTGCCCCCCAGAGAGCGGGATGTCAAATATTTACCAGCACCCCACTGCAGATAGGTAATAAATTATTCTAAGACTGATGAAGGCCATACCATTTCAAGAATTTCTGGAGAACACTGTAGACCCTGATGTCAAGACTAAAGACTATCAGGGGCACCTGGGTGGCTCAGTCCATTAAGCCTCCAGCTTCGGCTCAGGTCATGATCTCACCGTCTGTGGGTTTGAGCCCTGCATCGGGCTCTGAGCCGACAGCATGGAACCTGAAGCCTGCTTCAGATTCTGTGTCTCCCCCTCTCTCTGCCCCTCCTCCACGCTCTCCCTTTCTCTCCAAAATAAACATTAAAATAAGATAAAAACAAAACTAAACACTTTCAAATCTCCTTCTCCAGAGACTTTTCATTTTGCAGTGACTGCCCACATAGGTCAGCCCTACACTAGCCTGTCTGCAGACTGACCACCCACCAGGAGTCAGTGACCTGACCTCTACCCCACACCTAGTTCACCCAGAGGGACCCCGCTGCAGGCCAGGCCTCCCGCTCAGTACCCGCGTTCAACTGTGTTCATTCTCCCCTATGAATCTCTTTTGAATTATGTAATATAGAGATGAGGCAGTTTTCCCGATTTTGCAGGTGGGAAAACGGCCCTAGGGAGATGAATAAATCCAGAAGGTGAGTCTGTTGTGAAGCAGGAGAGGGAAGCTAGCAGGGTGGGCTTCTGGCTGGGTACTCCAGAAGTCGGGAGGACACAGCTCAGTGCAGACCTCCACGGACTCAGCCCTTGAGGCTATGAAACAGGGAGGCTGTGAGAGCTGAGGTTAGAAGGGAGTTAAATCGGGGCGCCTGGGTGGCTTAGTCGGTTAAGCGTCCGACTTTCGCTTAGGTCATGATCTCGCGGTGCGTGGGTTCGAGCCCCGCGTCGGGCTCTGTGCTGACTGCCAGCTCAGAGCCTGAAGCCTGTTCTAGTCTGTGACTCCCTCTCTCTCTGACCCTCCCCTGCTCACGCTGTCTCTCTCTCTCTCTCTCCTAGAAATAAATAAAACATTTTAAAAAAAAAAAAGAAGGGAGTTAAATCCCTGTAATCATTGGGATAAATTTTTGTGACTGCTATAATCTCACTTTCTATGCTTTGTTTCACGGATGCATCAGGAAGCTGACTCCCTGGCTAATTGGGGGGGGCTCCGCCCCCTTCCCACAGGCACTTCAGAGAGGAAGGAGAGACTCACGCTCTCCATGTAAACCTAGGAACCGGGGATAAAGCTTCTATGTAATTTCTGTGCATGTTTCTTCATTTCTAACGTAAAAAAGCTATTTTCGCTTAAGCAGATTGAAATTGAACAACTTGCCCCCCAGTGACCAGCCTGAGGGGAAGTATCTTTCTTCGTCCAGAGAAGCTCAGCCTGAAACAATCAGAAGGGAGGCCCGCCCCCAACTCGGGCTGCCTGTCTTGGTGGCAACAAAATTGGGATTTCACCGTGCACTGGCCGGCAGCCTCAACAGGTGAGAAGAAGACCTAATAGTTCTGGGCTGGGGGCTTCCAGCAGGAAAAGAAAACCGAGCAAGCCCTCCCTCGTGGAACGGAAGGGGATTTGAAAAAGTGAAAAAGTCGATTATAAGCCCCTTCCTTCCATCCTTCAGATGCCCTAAGGGCCCTCCCAGGGATGTGCTGAAAACAGGCCAATGGTCCTGACATCCTCCCCTCCTCGGAGAGCTTCGGCAGCCCACCCCGGAGGGTGACTCGGGCAGGCGGGGCTGGGCGTATTCAGAGGACAGGAGAAATGGGCGCGGGGGACCTAACCGGCTTCCATGCCAGGGGCATGGCCCTGCTCTCGCCCAGCCCCCCCCCCATGCCGTGTGCCGGGGAAGGGTGGGGGCTGCGGGGAGGGGGTGACTGCGGGAAGGGAGGAGGGTCTTGCAGCTCTAGGAGTTGGTCACCTCTCACCACATCCTGCCCTGGGATGGCTCTCCTACTGTGTCCCTTGGGCAGGTCACCCCGCGGTCACCCTGGCCCCTCTGACAATGTTTCTCTGGGGGCTGACCGGTTTCTGCCCACTTTCAAGACAGAACAGCCGAATGGCTGAAAAGAGCCCCAGGCACCAGAAGGCACAAGTTTAAAACCCAGGTCACCACCTTCCAACGTTAGGCAAGCGGCTGCGCTGCGCTAAATCTGGGTCTTGGTCAGGTGCAAAGTGGATCGTTAATTTATTTAGGAGAAAAACACTGCCAGTTATAACTGGAAGATGTCAACAACTGTAACGTATCCTAAGAGCCAAGACACTACAATGTAAAAAAAATATATATATGTCACAGAGTAGACAAAATACAGCACTTAAGTTTTCTGGGCTTCTCTTTGTCTGCGAAGCGGGACAGTAATGGCGCCTATCTTTCAGGCTGTAGCGAGAACCAAGTTAATATATTAAAATACTTAAAACAGTGTAAGTACAGGATAAGAAGGTTAATGTCATTCTTACATCATCATCACTGAGGCTGGGACCACAGGCATTTTTCATAACCTTGGAAAAAGCACTGTGGGGAAAAATCCTGTCAGGCAGCCCATTTTCCTGGAAAAAGCCATGTATGGAGACCACTAGATCTGGCTTTGAATCCTAGCTATACTCTTACCTTAGGCAATTACTTTAACCCCTGAGCCTGTTTCCATTACTATAAACAGTGGGAAAGACGCAACATCTTATTGGCTTACCTTTAGGATTAAATAAGTTCATGTATATCTAGCCCTTGGGACAAAACAGACATTTAAGTAATGCATTTGTTGTGGAATACTGAATGCTTCCCCTATGCACTATTTGAAAATGATCCATGCAATCATCATAGTTCAGGAGAAACCATCCCATGAAAGAAAGACCCAGAAAAGTAACGGCAAACAGCAGTGCTATTCTGTCGGCTTAGGAACTCGTGGGTCGCTGAACACAGCTGCTGGGGGAGGCGTGGAGCCGTTACACGCTGGGCTCAGGGAGCGCCGCATGCCCGAATCTGGTCACCTCACAGCCACCTCTCATTTTGATAAGCAGCACTAAGAATGAGGGATGTCACCTGTGTCCTGGTCTTGGCCCCAAATGTCCCTGGAGCTACTGGGTGGGGTCAACATAAGTCAGGTGGCCAAAAGAGGAGAAAGGAAGTGGTGGCCGCAGACCCACAAGTGCGCCAGGGCTCCCATGAGATCCAGGAACACAGAGGTGACAACGCAGGGGCCCCACGGAAAGGCTGGGACCCCCCAACAGCAGCCCAGCTGGCGGCTCAGCCCCAAGGGTCTCACACTGAGATGCCCACTTGTCCCTGCTCGTTCTCTGCTTTTTCCAAGTCAGACTACATGGCCCGTTTTTACATGCACCTCCCTTTCCTGTCCCTCACGCCCCACTCTCGGCGTCAGTGGCAGGTGCTCTGGGCTTCTCTGCCTAGTCGACACACCTGGTCCCCGCTCTTCTCCAGGACACCCCGTGAGTCCGGGGGGCTTCTGACCTCCTACATCCACCCTTTCCAGAGTACAGATCCCTTGTAAATGAGGAACAACCCCCTGGGCACACCCCACAGACCTGACTTTGGAAGAACTCTGGTCCTGGAGGGCGAGCAATGAAGGTGAGCTCCTTTGCACACAATCCTCCTCCTCATTCACCTTGACCTCCTCCCCGCAGGGAGGAGCAGGCACAGCAGAAATAAAGAAACGTTTTAAAAGATCCTAACAGCTGAAACGAAACGCCTAAATCCGGCAGTCTTTCCAAATGAGCAGGAGAGGAGCTCTGCCTGGCACCCCAGAAGTCTAGCATCAGATGCTCTGACAGCTGCTGTTCTGCGTGATCGGGGACTTACCAGATTTTAACCTGAGCTCCCCCAGGCAGCCATAAGCATCCGTGAGCTTTCCATACTGGCCTTTAATGACGTCCTTCTCTTCCGGAGCTAGGGGAGAAGCACATCACAGACAGCATCAGCCTGGGTCTCCTGCTGGACTTACTTCACTGCAGCCTCCTCCCCACCCACTCGGAAAAGAAAACGCAGAGACAATAGCTCAGCCCCAAGTAACGTGTGTGGAGGTTTTATGATCAGCGAATCACCGAGCTGCAGAGATTTAGACCTTCCCACCCAAAGCTTGCTCTCTGGAAGCGCCCACAGCTCCCAGGGGCCTGGGGAGGGCGAGGAGAGTCCCCGGCAGAGGCCGGAGGCGCTGAGGTGCAAGCCAGGAGCAGGTGCCTCGGGCTCAGCCCCTGTCCTCAGGCTCTGGAACAGGAGTGCGTCATCGGTACCCGATGGGGAAGACCTTCCTCCCTAAATACTGTCTGCTGGAGGCTCGTCCTGCGAGTGCCCCTCTCTCCACAAGGACCTGCTGACACAAGGGAGGCTGAGCAGAAGACCCACGTGCCCCAGGCACCCCAGGCCTGGGCCCAAGGGAAGCCACATGAGCAGAGACCCCAGGTCTTTAGCAGTTACCACCAGGGCTCAGGACAAGACACCACCCAGGCTGAGAGCAAGATAAGAAAGCGGACATGACAGAGAGAAGGACCACTTGGAGTAGGGAGCCCGTGACCCACAAGGTCGCCAAGACCCATCCGGCATTTACAGCGGCAGGCCCTCGGACCCCTTCTCTGAAAAATGTTTCCACAAGCAGAGAATGAAACAAACAGACAGACAGACAAACAAACAAACCCTGGATGAATCCTCAAATAAGGGCCTGGCAAACAGCAGGAGGGAGATTTACTAGGAAAGCAGCCACTCAGCCTCTGAATTACTGTGATAGGCAAACTCCTAATCTGGGGTGACGGACGAAGGCCCGGCAGTCACTGTAGCTCCGCGAGATCGGTTTGGGGGGGTCTGCACAACCTCTACAACTGTGTGCAAAATATCTGGATGCTAGAGTTTATTTGTTGATTTTGAGAGAGAGCAGGCAAGCAAGTGGGGGGGAGGGGCAGAGAGAGAGGGAGAGAGAGAGAGAATCCCAAGCAGGCTCTGCACTGTCTGTGAGGACCCCGATGTGGGGCTCGAACTCACGAACTGTTGAGATCATGACCTGAGCAGAAACCAAGAGTCAGACACTCAACCAACTGTACCCCCAGGTACCCCCTGGATGTACATTTTTATGGGGCTGGAGGCAGAGTTTTTGTCAGAATCTCAAAGGAGTTAGCGACACTGAAAAGGCTAAGAACCAGTGTAATAAACATTTCCCCCAATACTCACATGGGCTTTTCTGATTGGTTAGGGTTGGGGGGAGGGCAGAGGAACACTGGGGGCCACATCCCACCTCCTCCACCGGCCGGGTTCAGAGGTGGGGCGGCCAGGAGGCGCGTGATCACTAGTCTCCTGCTGCTGCTGTGGTAACAAATGACCAGACCCAGGAGCTCCAAACAGCACACATTCATGAGCTGACAACCAGGCAGGTGTGAAGTCTCTGAAATGGGTTCTACTGGGTTAAAATCAGTGTCGGCAGGACTGTGTTCCCCTGGAAGCTCTGGGAAACCCCGCTTCCTGGCATTTTCCAGCATCTAGAGGCCGTCTGTGCCTCTGGGCCCCCGGGGCCCAGCCCACCTTCAAAGCGAGCGACTACATCACTCCTGGGGGCTCTGCTCCCACTGCTGCTTCTCCCACTACCTCCTTCCTCGTTTAAGGGCCCCTGTGAGTTACCCAGGCAACCCAGCAGTCTCCGTAACTTACTCACGTCGGCAGGGTCCCTTTTGCCATGCAAGGTAAGAGTCACAGGGACTCAGGATTAGGACACTAACATCTTAGGGGCCCTCAGATGGCCACGGCCCATTTCCTGGAGGCCACAGGCCTCCCACCCCCACCGACGACGGGTGAGGGGACGAGGTATCCTCTCCACTCCCCGCATCTACTCCTGGCCGAGATGAACAGCAGCCTTTGCCCAAACAAGCCCACTGGATTTTTTTTTAAGTTTATTTATTTATTCATTTATTTTAAAGATGTTTTTAGTGTTTTTTGAGAGACAGAGACAGAGTGCGAGCAGGGGAGGGACAGAGAAAGGGAGACACAGAATCTGAAACAGGCTCCAGGCTCTGAGCTGTCAGCACAGGGCCCAACGTGGGGTTCAAACCCACGAACCACGAGATCATGACCTGAGCTGAAGTCAGACACTTAACCGACTGAGCCATCCAGGCGCCCAGCAAGCCCACTGTTAAGGGCCTAGCACTGTGTCACGTACCTACAGAGTCCTCCTGGAAATGGGCCTGTTCCCTGCTCTGGGACAAGTAAAGCCATGAAAACCCAGGCTCACAGGGAGACGAATGTCCCCCTATGGGCCACAGGCATGGCCAAACTGGGGTCTCGGCATCCAGGTGCTGCGGGCAGAGCCAGGAGGGGTAAACCAGGCGGCTGGTGGCTCTCATCTCAGTACACAAGCTGGCAAAGCAGGAGGGTAATTCAGACACAAACATATATGCATTTCAACCCTCGGAGCTTTACAAAGCCTTCAAACAGAATCCTTGAGTGACGAGAATCATCGCGTTCTCATTTTGTTAACCAGTGACGGGGAGGACTCTGTGCGTGCACTACCTCTGCAAACAATCCTGACCAAAGAAAACAAAACATCGGGAAACTGCTCCCCAGAGCGATGTGGTGGAGTCCACACATCAGAGGTGGGGACACGCCCACAAGGCCGGGTTGCGGGAATAAAACTGATGGCCTGCCCTGCCGCCACAGGTGACCAGCGTGTGCATCACAGCCCCCCTCACCAGGAAAAGTAAACCAGTACAAATTTAAAAAAGGATCTTTATCCTTGTATTTATTTATTATTTATTTTTTAATGTTTTATTTGTTTTTGAGAGAGAGAAAGAGACAGAGTGTGAGCAGGGCAGGGGCAGAGAGAAAGAGGGAGACACAGAATCCGAAGCAGGCTCCAGGCTTTTAGCTGTCAGCACAGAGCCCGACGTGGGGCTCGAACCCACGAACCATGAGATCATGACCTGAGCTGAAGTTGGATGCTTAACCGACTGAGCCACCCAGGTGCCCCTTCGTCTTCATATTTATTTTTTATTTTTTTAAATGTTTATTTTTGAGAGAGAGAAAGAGACAGTGCAAGCAGGGGAGGGGCAGAGAGAGGGAGACACAGAATCTGAAGCAGGCTCCAGGCTCTGAGCTGTCAGCACAGAGCCTGATGTGGGGCTCGAACCCACGAACTGTGAGGTCATGACCTTAGCTGAAGTCGGACACTTAACCGACTGAGCCCCCCAGGCGTCCCCTTCCTCCTCATATTTACCAGACATGCAAGCACAACAACGCAGGATCGCCGTGTCCCATTCAGATCCGATGAGCTACTGCCTTCCCAACAGAGACATCTTTTATAGCGGACTTCCCGTGCGGGAGCTCCTGGCAAATCACCCCCTACTGGGTGTGCAGGCTCATGACAAGATGCTGTTCGTCCACAGATTCACTGCAAACAAAACGCTACCGTCTCCCAGTGCAGAAGGCCAGAAGCCTGAAGCAGGTGTCGGCGGGGGCGGGGATCCCTCTGACCGCTCCTGGGGAAGATCCTTTCCTGTATCCTCCGGGCTTCGGGGGTGGCCGTCAGTCCTCGGCGATCGCTGGCTTCCCTATCCCTCACTCCAGTCCCTAGGGGGCCTCCATCTTCACGTGACCTTCTTCCGGCTGTGTGTCTCTGTGTCTCCTCTTCTTCTTTTTTTATTTTTATTTTTAAAATTCATTTTAATTTATTTTTGAGAGGGAGACAGAACATGAGTGGGGGAGGGGCAGAGAGAGAGGGAGACACAGAATCCGGAGCAGGCTCCAGGCTCTGAGCTGCCAGCGCAGAGCCCAACATGGGGCTCGAACCCATGAGCCACGAGATCATGACCTGCACTGAAGCCAGATGCTTAATGGACTGAGCCACCCAGGCGCCCTGAGCCAGCCCAGACCCCCTCAGCACACTGTCTCTCCTGTAAGCTTAGTTTCTGGTTTCCTCTTCTCCAATGCGCATTCTGACCCTCAGCGTGTACAAGCAGGCTTGTTCGGCTCCCACAGTGCAGACCCCTGCTCTGCCTTCAATGCCCCTCCCCCCCCACCCGCACTCCTAGCGGCCTGGCCTCTCGGGCAGCTTGTTCCAAAATCGCCCAACACCCCTCCGTGTCCCAAACAGCTATATTTCCTCAGATTAGAAGGAAGAAGAAATCCATCATCCATTTTGCTCTTGAAAAGGGAGCTCAGAGCTCGAATGTCTGTAAGCACGAGGCAGGTAACGAGCGAATGAAGCTGCTCGGGTGACCAGAGGACACGCAGCCCCTCTAACGGGGGGCAGATGGTCAGTTCCGGCCCAGCCCTGTGCCAGCGAGCTGCCAGTTTTTCGAGAGAAATAGGACACTCCTGATTTTTCGATGCTGGCAACCAATCCACATTTATTTTAGGCACCGTGTGGGCCGCACACACCTCTGCAGACCGTATTTGGCCTGCCCGTTTGCAACTCCTGCCCTTCTTTTCTTAATGCCCCCGAAATAGACTATTCCCGTCTTTCACACTTCAGTTGCATTTCCTGTCAGTTTCTCCGTGTTAGAATGCAATTCGCCTCCCCTCCCACCGCCACGGATTTCCAGCCTTTAAGGAAAGTCCCCTCGCTGACTCTCCCCCCCCTTCCTCAGGCCCCCGTTGCCCCTGGTCCTCAGCCTCGCACCCAGCGAAAGCGTCCTGAGAGCCTACCGCGGCCGGCGCCGGCCTAGACACGCACACGGCAGCAAACCAAACGGACAAAACCCATCTACAGCAGGGCTGGCCGAGGCACGCATTTGGCAGTGTCGCAAGGAAGGAACGTGTGTCATGAATGGATGTGAGATGACAATGGAGGCCAACCCGGGAGGGGCGGGAGCCAGGAACAGCGGCACTGCCAAGCCACACGTCCATAAAGGTGGGCGGCGGCGGGGCCTCCTCGACGCCAGGTACCGTGCTAGCTTCCTGCCAAGGGGAAC